CCTGGGCAGCCTGTGCTACTGTCTCACCACTCCTTCCAAGTTTTTCCTAATACCCAACCTGAGCCCCCCTAGATGCAACTTGAGGCCATTCTCTCTCATCCTATTGCTGTTATCTGGGAAAAGCAATAGGACAAGATGGCATGGCCACAATGTCCAGCAGCATGACAATTTCACACAAGCATAGTGCAGAAGGGAAGAGCAGTACTGCAGCAGTATTTCATGCAAGGTACCAGCCTGAAGTGCTACCTCTCTTCCAGTGCTGACCACTTTAGATCAGGTGAGCATCATCCCTGGCACACAGAAAGGGAGAGGGCAACAGACATGCTCCCTGTGCCCTAAGCCCAAGTTGGACACATCCCAGTCCTGGCACTTCAAGACAGCGAGCAAGGGTTATGCACAGCTAAGAACTGTCAACCATAGGCAGCTTGTAGGATTTGGCATGGCACAAAGATGGATGTAGCAAGGAGAGCAAGAAGGTAGGAGGGGACAGGCTTGGCAGAGTCCTGCATCTCCCTCTCCCACATCCACCTGCCCCTTGCAGAGCACACAGCTTCAAAAGCAACAGAAAAAGTTCAGGGTTATACTCTTTGTGGCTTATGAACAGCTTTTTTTTTTTTTTAATTTCACATGAAGCATGCAATGTTGATTAGCATGGAGTTCACAAACAATGCATCAGCAGTCTTTGTAATGCCAGAAAATGAATCCACTTCAGTTGAACTACCACAGAGAACTCTCCCCACCACTCGTAAATTGGAGAATTAGATAGACACCATGGTTCCTAAGCTGTGCAAAAGCAGCACATTTGCCCATCTACTTTCCTTCGTAGTTTTTGCACACAAATTTTTATTCATGGCAGAGAGACATTTTAGACTGAACTCAGAAGGCGTTTTCAAAGACAAGCCTATGGCTTTTTCTTGTGTTTCTTTTCTTTTTTTTTCTCTTTCTTTTTCTTTTACTCAGCTGAGCTTTCAGTCACTTTAATTCAGTAAGCTGGGCTGAGAAGAGCTCCAGGAGTGCCTCAGTACATATCTCAGGAGAGGGGCTTCTGCTTTTCCCTTCTCCTCTCTCCCCCAGGGCAGCTGGTGGCAGCACCACACAGTCACCTTGCTCTACCTCTGGTACCCCACAGCAGTGCTCAGCACAAGCTAAAAAAGGCTAACAGTGAGGCTATCATTTGAGAAAAGAAACTGCAAAGATGCCCATGGTCTATGGTCTGTGCAGATGACTCATTCCACAGCACAATCTAATTCCAAAACAATTACAGCAAAAGCAAAATCCTCACACAAAGGAGAGAAAAAGCACAGAGTCTGGACCTCTGCTGAGCACATGCCTCTATAAAGCTGATATTACTGCAGAGATCATGCTGCCACTTAGCCATAAAGCACAACTGTCCATTTGCCTTGAGCCCCTGGATGGAAAATTAAAGGTAAAGAAAACAGAAAACAGGGCAGTAGGGGTTCAAATGCAAGTGTTTGCACACCAAATTTGCTAAAGCAGTTTAATTCAAAAATGCAATCACTCTTTTGCTCCACTGTAATTTGAAATGAATGAGTGACTGACCAAAGCCAATAGATTATCATATTAATTTGTAACTTTTATACTCATTACACTGTAAGAGAAGACCACAGTTCCTCTAAATATGTTCATTACTCAGATAATTATCCAAAACCATTATACAACACAATTATCCAAACAATTATCTAGGAGGGAGATTATTATCTCCAGATGCATCATGAGCTATTCTATGAAGTGTTCAATATTTATTGCTTTAGTGGCATTGGCTAGCTGTGATTGATCAAGTGAGTCATATGTTGTTCTGTCAATTGCACTTCTAGTGCAAATACCCACTAATTCTGACTTCAGGTGGTGTAAATACCATATATGAGCTCACACTTCACATTCATACTCAGCGGAAGAAAACATCTGAATTCACCAATCCAGTCAAAATACTGCTCCACTACATATGACACATCTTGTACTTTCTCTTGAAGTAACATTTGCTAGCAGTAGAAAGCAAACAAGGCCAAGTTCTTTGAAAGATTCAGATGAAGAGTCAGAGTCCTTTTCTTGATCTGGAATTAGTCACCAAATGAGTAGCAAAACTATTTAAAAAATTACGATGATTTTACATGTCACTGCAGAAAACTAAGCAGTAACAGGAATGATCTAGAACAACATTGCATATCACTGACAATGAAAAAAACCTTAACTTTTATTTCATATCTCATTTTATGGAATTCTTGTCTTGAGCTTCAACTACTGTTTCATGTTTTCTTGAGGTTTAGAATGAGTCTAATAATTCAAAGCAAAAGCACAGTCAAAGCAGTCAAATTCCACCTGTGCTCGTGGGCAAAAGGAAGCAAAATGAATAAACTGCTTCAGCAGTGCTTAAGCATAACCCTTAGTAAAATTTTTGACAGAACTGTTTGCCCAAGGATGCCCTTGTGGATGCCCCACCCGTGGAGGCATTCAAGGCCAGGCTGGATGTGGCTCTGGGCAGCCTGGTCTGGTGGTTGGCGACCTTGCACATAGCAGGGGGGTTGAAATCGGATGATCATTGTGGTCCTTTTCAACCCAGGCAATTCTATGATTCCATGATTCTATGATACTATGATCACTTGTTCAGAAACCCTACTGAGTCCAGTGTTATATTTAATAATTAAAGTTTCAGGATATGCTATTAAAGCTTAAGGAAATCGTAGGTCTTGAACAGCATAATTCTTGAGCAAGAGCATCATCAATCCAGTAGCAGTTCTGTATTATTTCATTATTACTCTTAGTAATAATGAAATAATGAAATAATGAAATACTCAGTTACAAGGCTTGTTATTCCAAAGTTCAATGAGGTCCAGTAAATTCTATGAGTTACCTTAAGCAGCAAAGTTTTAAAAGCCCATGAAGTATATTTCATTTTGTTGTTTTAAAGCATCACATACTAAGAAGTTTGCTTCATCGTAACAAAGTCTTGACAGGGCTTACCCTAACAGCACTTTCTTCAAAATATTCCTGGGCCTTACTTTCAGATGATTTTCTCTTAGTCGGACAGATCCGACAGTACAGATAGGCAACTAAGCCCCAAGGCTAGGCATGAGTTTAAGTTCTTAATATATTGTATCTACAAAGAGCAGCATACGAAAAGACAAGTTGTTCTATGCTCTGCAGATTCTATTGACTTTAAATCGTGAAGTTGTATTTTCTCTTGTGCTTTCATAGAAAAATATAATTGGTGCCAAAGTGAAAGATCCCAGCATGACCTGTCTTCACTATAAGCCACTCCAGCTGTGGTTGTGAGCAGATTTGTACATTCAGACACTCTGCTGCAAGGCAGACTTTCCTAACAAGCTGAGGTTTTGCACCTCAGATGGAGGTGAAGAATAACTGCTTGGTTGGAAACAGGGAGAGATGAGACTGTCCTCTCCCCACCCTTAAAGTCAAGAGAAGCTTTACAGGCTCCAAGTAAGAATCAAATGAGAACAGAATAAAGACTTGCAATTTACTCCCCACAGAAGTTAGCATGGATACAGGCACTAACCACTGCCATAGGATAGGTGCTAACTTATGGTTTATTAATCTATATTTTATAAGCATTAGTACTGTAATTCCTCACACACCTTTTTCCAGGTTCCTGCATCAGGGTGCAGCCACTTTACAGTCACTGTTTTTTTGTCTGCACCGTGAACATATCTGAAGCAGCTTAAACTACTTCCTACTGTTTATGGTGAAAAGTGGGTGATGTGGCCCCTGCACAATATGTTCGTACCCATCAGTGCAGAGTGGGCAACCTTCACAAACCGTGCTGCCTCTGGGTGGGCAACCCTGGTCTTCAGAAACTGGTCTCATTTCTCTGAGTCCTCCAAAAGGGATTCAATTCCCTTCAAATGCACCAATGACACAACAATATAAAAAAATCACCATACAAATGTCAAATTGCTCCCCTTTCTGATTTTGACTTTACAAAGCTTAATCATTGCATACCAAAAGGAGAATTTAGCAAAACAAAACAAAAATGTTTAAAAAAAATTAAGGATGTTTCTTTGAGTTTTCTGAGCTAAATATTAGAAAAATAGCTTCACAGTTTTTCAGTGCTACAAATGAATGGCCATAGCATACCAGTAAAGATTAACAGAATAAAAAAATTATTGGAAAGACAGCCCAGTCCTTTAAAACTACTTCAGAAGGAGCCAGATTACGTGAGCATATGCAAAATGCTCTTGGTGTCACACTGGATTTCTGAGGAAAAACTGAAGCCTAGTGAAAATGGTCTGTGTAGGAGAATTTCCCAACATCGGATATTTTCTATTCATTTATGGATTATCACACATGGATAAAAAATTGCCACATGCACATCTGGACAGAATGATGACCCCATCCAGTCAAATGTACTATTGTGAAGCTAGGAAGATAATAACCAAGTAGAAATGCATAAGCAATAGAAGGAACTTTAAAATTAAATGTGCCTTCATAATTAAAACATAAAATCAAATGGATTTCTATAACTTCAATTTGAAACAATCAAGTATCACCTCTGCATGCTCAAAGGAGTGCTTTCCATAACCAGTGGAACTAGAAAGGACAGAAACAGCCAGAGGTAAAAGGCAGAGCTGGCACATGGATATTATTATTTTCTTGCTTTTTTGTGCAACCAATTCTTCTCAGTCCCAAGTTGCTTGTTTGTTGATTAAGATTTCTGTCATGCTTACTCCTACTCATCTCAGTAATGAGCAGAGTAACTGAAAAAGTCCCTCTTTCTGTAATGATGCTGCAAGAATGGCAAGTCAAAATTTTAACTTTTTGAAGTTCTTCTCCCGGATCGGTTGGTAGTTTGCTAGAGAACAAGAAGTTTCTGTTTGGTGCAGTGGGAGGTAGTTCATTATTAAAGAGGAAACAAGGTCTTATTCAGCTGCTATACTATCCAGGAAGGCATGGTAAAAGAATCTGCTAAATGAGTTCAGAACATTATTAAAATTTAAAAAAAAAAAAAAGACTAAGAATGTAATTACCTTTTAGATAACAGTACTGCTGAAATTTGTTGTTCAAAGAAGTTTGGCTTTACAACTGACTGCAACGGCACTCTGATTTCATGGTGTGTTCATATCACCTGCAAAGTGCAAAGGACACAGTTTTTCAATCTTCAGGCACAAATCTGGAAAGAGTTAAAAAAAAATAATTGTCACATCAAAAAATGTAAACAGTGATTATAAAATGAGCTTCTCTTCAGCAGGATTTTTGAACATAGGAATAGTCATGTAGATTGAAGTAGGTTAGAATGCTTTATACTAGGTCTAAAACGTTTTGCAGAAAAGCATTCATTCCAATGACATTATAAGAGGATTTTTTTTCCTCATGGTCCATGCCAATTTCAAAAGGAAAACAAGCTAAAAAGGTCTGAAAATATTTCCTATCTCTATCTGAAAACTGACATTTTGCTTCAAACATTTTCACATAACCTAACTATAAGGTTGTGACTTTGTTCCACTGTGGAAAAAAAATGGATGTACAACCTTCAAAAAACATCATGAAAACAATCTTTTTTCTCTGATCAGCTTTCTAATTATCAGAAATAATATCACAATAGCATAAGAAAATGTCAAGAAATGTTCACAAGTCAAAGGCAGTATGAAACTAAGCAAAAGATAAGGTATTGTTTTAGTGTAATGAGGCTGATGTACAAACCTGGGGTTGATAGCCATTATAAACTGCTGTTTTCCTCTGTAGGTGGGAATATAAATCCCTTCTTTGCCAGAAGGTATTTGTGATTTGCTGATGAAATCAGACCCAACTTGCTAATTTTTATGTAGAAGAAGAAAGTAAAAAAGAAAAAGATTTTGCTTGGCCATGTCACCAAAATCTGGTATTTTCATTAACTTCTATTCAGTGAGAACAGAGTTGCATCTGGTACTGCAGAAGCTTTAACTGGCGACCCCTTTTTGCTCTAAAGAACAATGGTGGTTAATGGTGGGATGGCCACTGAGGAGGCAAATTCCCTTCCTTCTGGTAGGCTGACTTCATAATGTCCACAGATTGTAAATAGATATTTATTTGGTCTTGGAACCAGCAGCTAGGAATTCATGATGGGGCTGTTGTTTTTTTTTGTTGTTGTTGTTTGTTTCTTTTGTTCTCAGCAGCTTTATGGAAACAAACTTCAGCTTCAAGACTCCCCAAGTCCATATTCAATGTCATGTTCATATCCACTGCTGCCGTGCCATCTCTGTCTGGATATCTAGAAACCCAATGAAGGCAACACTGGGTACAACTTGAGGTGTGAGAACCAACATAATGAGGTAGCCTGTCACTAGAGGGCAATGTGACACAGTGGCTGTCCCACACATCCCACCTCCTTCCTCTCCACGAGCTTCAACCTCCAGGTGCATTGGGTAGGAATTCACCTCTGGAAGCAGCTTTCAAAATGAACTACCAAAGATGACCTCTAGAGATGGTGCCTATGGTTTTGTGCATTGCACAAACATGCACTCATTATACAAGCACATGTATTCCACCCACACACATGTATAAATTGGCTTCCTCAAGGTTTGTCACCTTTATGAATAGCTGGGGCTCAACAGGAGACGTCTGCCAAGGAACATGATGCCTGGGGGATCTTCCAAAGCCCATCTCACCAGCGGTTGCTCACCCTGAGCTCTTGCACGGTCTTCTCCAGCTCAGCTCAACACTGCTTTTTTTTCATATTGCCAACAGTTTGTACACAAAGCAGTAGCATCAGCCTCTCCCTCACTGTGGTCTTCAAAACTACTCTCTGTGGCTACTCCTTTGGGGCCGTTGGCTCCAAAAGTCAGTGCCACAGCAGGTGGCTATTATCTTTCTGCTTTCTTTTCTCTCTGTATCTCTCTGTGCTGAGGCTGGAGTAAGCAAACCCAACTCATAGCCCACAGCTGTACACAACCCAGCCCAGCCTGCCCTGCAACCACCCCCTACCTCACGCCATCAATTGACATAAATATATTATCTACAAATTTTCAAACAGAGTGCACAGAGCTGCAATCAGGTATTCAACTCAAAAATCTGACCATGCCTCTATATCAAACCTTTATAATTCCTGTCTTAGCAGAGAGAAATAGACCTCACTTCACAGTCATCACTTATTCGTGTCATCATTTCTTGGTGATACATATATTTGTGAACAACTGTTTTCAAGGATGAAGTAGAGGAAGAGTAAAATTTTATCAAAAACCTTCCCACCAATATTCCATCACATGTTGTTGCTGTTCAAGAGATGGCAGCAGAGGGGCAGTCTGACAGAATTTCATCTAATATGAATGTGTAGATGAAGCAAATGGGTGGAACTGAATTCCTCCACGAGGGAAAAATGGCACCCACTGGCATTCATTGACACTTGCTGAATGTTTTTGGACACCAATCAGCGGATTTGAGGTAGCAGGTAGTGTGTTTCAGTAGTGACAGCAGCAGTGGGGACAGCAACAGTGGGTCACTGCTGCTGGTGCACATTTTTACAAACATGGCATGCAGACTCTTGTTCATCAGTGGTAAAAATGCGTATCTCACAGTGGCAATGCTGAAAAACAGTGTTTTGCAGCTGAGAATTTGCTCAATGAAATAGCATTATTGTGCTCTTTTTATCTGTTTTATTTTCCGTGGAAATAAATAGGAAGCATTACTTGTGAAGTGATGTACGTATTTTATACACAGCCCAAGATAGTTCTTTTTCACTCACTGCGGCCTAGGAAAACCAAAAGGTTGGACACCCATGGGCTAGAAGGATGTAGCTGGAGAAGCCTAGACAGAGAAGAAGTAAGAAAGGCATGAGTACAGGTGCTAGCTCAGCTGGATGAGAATGAAGGAAAGCTATGCCATCACTGAACACCCAGTGCAGAGACCAGCACTTCTGTGAGAGAGGGACATCATTGATTAGCAATGCAACAAGATACAGCTAGCAAAGTCTGTCTGGGATAAAAACTTGTCAAGGAGGAGCTAATGTGGGATGAATACCACATACATTCAAACTCTGCAGTGCTTGGTAAGCACTGCAATGTACCACAAGACGCATGACATAATGTGTAGCTATAAGCTTTCTAGCTTTAAAACAGAGAGCAAAATCAGAGCTTCTGTAGAGGTTTAGCTTCACATCCAGCTGCTGGAGATACTCCAAACTAAACCCTGAATACCCCAAAACCAAGTGCAGGCTGTCCGCTGCACATCCAGTAATCTGCACAGCAGGAGGACAGTGTCCAGATATGTCTCATCTCTGAACAGGGTCAGACTCTCCTTTGCAGTTTGAATGATTCTCCAGCATCATTCTGAAGCTAAGATTACACATCACTTAGAAAAAAAAATCCACCAAATTAAACAGAGAGGTGCAGGATTATGCAAAACACGTGATGTTGAGTGTGTAACTGGAATGCTTCTAAGTGTGTATGGGATGTCTGTATACAATATTTATTGTAAATTGATAGTGTAGAAGAGAGTTGGCAGAGGAGAAGCAAAAGGCTGATGAAAAACTGAATCTTCATATAAGAAGACAAGAGTCAAGTTTCAAAACTGAAAACTGAAGTGCTTGTTAGGCACCTGATACCTGAATGTATATTCACAATCCATTTTGTACAGAGAGAGCAAATAACTGAGTTTTGCATGTATGGAGGCCAGAGATAAGCCCAAACTCAGTACTGGGTTTGGTGGTAGTATATCACATTAGAAGAGTTTGGTGTAAGATTCCCAGTGTTAAAAGAAAATTCTTCCACTGAAATGGAAAATTTCTCTTTTTAATGCAGATTAAAATTCCATACCCAGTTATAAATCAAAAATTAACAACTTTATCTAGGTCAGGGGATTGAAGACACATTAAAGTTTTATCCTCATTCACTAAATTTTAATTTTAATATGGTATGTCTGACAAGTCTTGTGGGACTTCTTAGAATCCACTGACATCCTTCTGTCATTGGTATCAAAGCTTCATTTCTGAGACACTTGTTTCCAGATACCTAGCTCTCACTTGATTGTTTTTTTCTCTGCAGTGGTCTCATGTTGTGTAGTTGTGTAGGCATTAACATGCATGTACCCTATTTGTCACCTGATGTTCATGCAGCACAGAAATCCTAACCATTAACTACAGAAACACAGGTTTCTATGTGATTATTTAAAGGTGAAGCAGTAACTCAGCTTATTATACCTTTCAGCTTGTTTAAAGTTACCGAACCTGCTAACTCATAAGTTAAAACTCTCAAAGAAATCTACAGTTTAATTTACAAATAATATTTCATTCCAGGAAGGGCTGTGAAAATAAAAAAAATATTTTGCATATCCCTGTCATCACTTTTATGACTATTTATGGCAGAAATGTTCATGTACTAATTCAGAAATATCTCTGTGGATCAGGAAGGCATCAAATCCTGAAGCAGAAACAGTCCACGTGATTTATCTAGTCAATCAGACCTGAATTACCAAAGAAATAATTGTGGCCTTTAGTGCTTGAGCAATTACGAGGCTTAAATACAAGCCTTTAACTGAACGGTTATGACACATTCATGGAATGCCAAAGTATGTTCACAGATCATTTACTAGCTAAAATTTACTGTCACTATTTCAAAAATATAAATGGTGAAATTCATATCAGATACACGCAAATGGGTTCTTCTGAATTTGGAGATTAATTTGGAATCAACATTTTTTTTTTCTTCTGTTTAGTATTAGCAGACAGCAGCAAAGATCTTAGATCTGCTGTTACTGTGGCTGCAACATGACAAATGAAAGCATGGTCAGTGTGGGCAGCTAGCTAGTCCTGGACTTGTGAGCAAGCTTACAGAGAAGAGGAATATGTAGGACAGTAAGAAACATCCACAACACCCAGCAAAATTATAAAGATTCCTCTTTTTACTTGAAGTTGTGTTTCACAGCACACAGCCACTTGTCTTGTGTACAGATTTGCCCTGATGCACATGGGTTTGTACCTTGTTTTTCACAGAATGGCGGCTTGAAAATGAGGCACCCTAAGGACAGAACTCATCAAACCACCACATCACCCTGCATTTCTGATCATGGTGTGGTAATGCTTTACTTCCAGACAGATTTAAATCTACTTCTTACTTCACCATGTGCTCTTGTGCAAAGATTAACTGTCAAGCACCA